TCTAATTCGCAAATTTTTTAACATCTTATCTATTTTTAAATATCTAAAAAGAATTAAGTTTATCGAATGATACTATTAATTAAGATGTTTTGTATATAAAATAAATCATTGCTTAGTCAATGTTCTCACGAGAATAAAGATTTTTCATAATTCAATTTCAACTGTAATATTCAATTCTGGTTCATCTGTCGACAAGTGCTCTCGACCTTTACTATTTGTTGATCCTGTTCCAGGTACACATAAAGATGTTCGATTCGAGGGAACTTTACTTATTTTTAAGGAGTCCTGAGGCGAAGGAGAAGTCTTCATAAAACTGTCATTTGGACTTGCTGATCTCTCGGGACGTATCCGAGGACTAAAGTACCCGTGCTGTCGGAGATATACGATCGCGTTAAAGAATCCGCCAAGATGGACAAACAGAACCATTGTTGTATTGCTGATTATGTTGTTACAACCGTTGAATATTAATATGTATGCTAGTATTCCAGGTCCCCTAATTATAATCAATAATTAATAAGTTTGACAAAGAAAAGCCATAAACCAATGAATATATATAAAATCGCACTAACCACTGACAGACAAAAACTAGAATATAACTAGACATTTTTCCAATCGCTTCATCTTCCCACCCAAAAGTACGATCATGTGCCATCCTATTATTACTACGAAGAGTAGTGACGCTATTCTTTCTTGCCTGATAAAATGCTGAAAATCTACTATTAGAATCAGCCACACCTGTCGACGAGTACGCGGAATATCGATTCTGGAGTGCAGTTGGATTCGTCGGAAATGTATTGTTACGCATTGATTGTAATTTTGCGAGTGATGCTTTGATCTTCGTAATTACTTTAATGTAACAGTATGCTGTGATAAATGTGCATATAATGATAATCCCACTCAAAGCCAACATATTTATGCGTCCCGATAGTGAAGCGACATTAATTTGACACCTAAATAAATTTAGTACGTATGAGTTGCGAGAATTCATAACGACATGGTATGATAATACATGTAATCTCTTACCAATAAGTACTCGTTCCATATGCGTCGCTCAACATACCAGCACCAATGATGAGACAGGGTGTGGTTAAACAAACGAAATGAAATTTCCAATCAAATCGTCCAAAATTCACTTGCCTTTCTCGATACACTTTAATATACGCAGTTATTGCAGTGCTTGTGACTAGCATTACGTTCCAAGCAATCGAAAAATTCAGAAAACCGCCTTGGATTTTACACACGAGTGTTTCGGGAAATTTTTCTGTGGATAAAATTTCAACCCATTCAGCGATCATGTTCAAATTAAAAAATGTATCTTGCACCGCAAGATAAAAAGGAAATCTAAAGAAAGATTTATTTATTTATTAATAGGATGAAACTTTTATTTTGATATTTTACAAGAGATTATTTTCTCCTTTGTAATCGTTACCTATGATTCCAAGAATCGTACCAACCAGGTCTGCTAAGGATTCGATACAGCATATATAAATTAGAACTTTGCGAAATTGACGCAGCACTTAGTCCGGATATCGTCACCACGTAAAATTGAATATAATCATTTCCGCGTACTGCTGACTCGCGATATTGATCGTTTTGCTCCGGCTGATTTGCTAACGATGTATCATTATTTTGGTTTTCAGGTTCACCTGCAATTTTAACTATTACGAGCTCATCTTTTACTTTTGATTCATTTAAATCCGAATCTTCAGTGCTATCAGAACCTAAAGATGAATTGGAAGTGTCAGAGTTTTCGGGTGCAACTGAATCATTTTCACGAATTGAATCGCGCTTTGTTTTTTTATAAAGATCCTTTTCAGCATTGTTATTAATGTTATAATTGGAAACTAAATGTGAAACTCTACTCTCAGATATTATTATTATGGATGTATTTGATAAAGTATCGCGTAATGTTGGATAAGCTAATGAAGAAGGCACTGAAGCCAGGATGGAAATCAAAAAAATTCCTATTATAAATACAATTTTGTTCATATTATTATAAGCTTTTGTAGATGCGAGTTCAGTATCACCCATTGTATTGTATCTTCAGCTCTTAGGCAAAAGAGAAGAGAAAGAGAGCGAGAACGATTTTCAACGAATTAGAGATGTCTAGGTTTTATATAAATGATATATATTTGTTTTAATTACGTATATTAATTATCTATTAATATCAAATTCCAAATACATGTATTATGTGTCTGCAAGTGTATGTGTTATCTCTTAATAAATGTATAAGGTGCATGTATGCGTGGAAGATGGTTCATTTAAACATTACTATTCTGATAATGTTATCAAATGGGTTTTTGAATTCGAT